GATCTAAAAGCTATTTGGCTATTTTATTATTAGCAGAATATTTTTTTCGTCTTTCTAAACTAAAATTTATATCTCAATTACTTGTTAGCAAAATTTTATTGTCTTGATTTTCAAATTAGTTTTCATGATTTCTGAACTCGATTTATTCATTAATTAGATTTTTTCATATTTGCTCTTCTTCTACAACTAAGTCTTCATTATCAAAATTCATTTGATTTTTAGATCTAGTAGTTGCTTCTACTTTAATATTATCATCATTATCATTATTCATTTGATAATCAAAATTAGTAACAGCTAATTCTTGTTCAACAATTTTATTGTCTAATAAAATAGATGTTGTAATATATAGTCAGTGAATTTGATTGTCTTATTCTTTTGCATTTTTGATTTTATAAGAACAAAGAATATTACTTCGAATCTTACTCATTGCTAAGACCTTCTTTGGCTGCAATATTAATACATTATATAATACAAATATAAGATAAACTATCTCTTATAATTTTGTCTAAAAAATTTTGAATAAATATATTTTTATAAAGTTCTTTAAAAGTTATATATTTACAGTATATTACAAGTAAAGATAAATGATCAGAAATTTTGAATTAATTTGATTAACTATTCAGTTATTTTTTTATTTAGAATAAATAATAATAATAATTATTATCTTTAATTTTGTTATAATTAATTAATTAATAAAAAAAAAAAAATTAGTAGTAAAATATATGATAATTAGTTATAACTAGGCTATGAATAACCAAACTGTAATTAGTTTTGATAATTTGAGTATAATAACCTTATAGAAGACTACAAACACTTTACAGCTACAGAATTAACACAAATACTATGAATATAGATTGCTATTCATGCTAATTCTAAACTTATACCTTTAGTTAATTCTTAAAAATCTACTAAATTTCTATTAAATTGCATAAATAATTCAGTATTATAGAGGTCAACTTCTCTTTTATACTTTATTAATTTAGCTAAAATAGAAAGTGGTTTAGAATTAAACTATATTTTATATTAATATTTAAGCTATTGACTAATATGAGTTCAAGATAGATTAGTAATTATGCTATTAAATTTAGTAAGTTTGTATTGAGAATATAATACAAAAGAAAGAATTGTTAATAGTTATTCCTATTTATTCTAATATAATTTAATATATTTTTTCATTCTTTCTCCAAACTCAAAATCTTAATAGTATTTAAATATCTTTATCATATACTCAAAACAATAAAGAACTTCATATAGTCAAGTAGTATTTTTTTGTAACTTGTTTAAAAAACTACAAAGAGGATATAAAAGTTCTTGTAGGTTAGTTAACACTATTCAAAACTAAGTATTATTAATAATATTAGCAATATTATTTAGAAGTTTTTAAGTACTATTATATAGTATTAATTGATTATTTGCTAGTACAGACAGAATACTTTCTGTTCAAACTACATTGTCATAGTGATATTAAACTTAGCAGAAAAAAACTAATATTTTATATATTAAATGATTAGATTTTTGCAATAATAAGTCCAATTTCTTAGTTTTCATAACTAGAAGTATTATTGCAATACTATAATTGGTTGTAATTATAATAAATTTTTTTTTTTTTTTTTTCAGCAGTTATGTTATGACTTTATTTAGATTTGCTTTTCATTAAAAACAAGCTATATTATCAAGTTTTATACTATCTAATGTCTAATTTTTTAAGTCCTAACTCATCTAGTTATCCTAAAGATACCTATGTGCAATTTGCTATAGTAACCTTTGTCTTATACTAGAGTTGTTTATAGTTTATAAACTACAACACAGTATAGAAAGAATACTATAGCTCATCATGACTAACTTAAAATTCAACTATCTGAAATTCTCTCTTTTACTTCCCTAGCTATGCTATCTAATGTTATTTTTAGGCTAATATTACAATTTTCTGTGTTCTTATCTATTTTGTGTTTTGTATTTCTTCCTACAATTCTTTTCTTTAGATCATTTTCCTTTTTTCCTTTTAGGAGTATTTTACTTTTTTTGAGATCTTTTCTTTTTTCTTCTATACTTCCAAATCTTTGTATCAGCTCTTCCAAACTTCTTTATAGAATAATTCTATCCATATATGCTAGAAAATACTCTAAAATTTTATCATTATACTTTCAGAGCTAACAATGTTTTTGATTTTTTCTACATCTTCTTTACTAAGGATACCTCTTATCCATCCTTTTCTTTTTTGTTGTTTTTTTTCTTGTTCACATTGGATAGCTTGTTGTATAATTGATAAGTTCCAATTTTCTTCTTTTCTTTTATCTTCATAGAGCCATTTCTATGTTTTTTCTTTAATTTTTTCTAATACTTGATTTGATTTTTTACAAGTAATTAAGTGTCTAATCATTTCTTTTTCCTTAAAGCATCTTTTACATAAGCTATTTTTGTATAATTAAGGTCTTCTACAGTTTAAGATTTCCACAGTTAGGAGAAGATTTTTGATGCATTTAGTTTTGAACAATCACAAGTGGTTTACTTCAGAATTCAGGTATTACTTGCTACAGCTTCTAAGTATACCCTTAAAAGCTTTTCAATTCTGATTATAAATTCTTATTTGATGTTCCTCATCATTTTTCTTTCTTAGCTATGTCCATTCTGCTTTATATATCATTTGAACTGCTTTTTTAATGAAGGCTCTTATTAGAGTCTCCAAACTTATTTTTTTCCATTTAGAAATATATCTTATACTATTGTTACTAATATTGCTTAGTTTCATACTATATGTTTCGTATATTTCTTCTTTTGCAAGTATATCTGCAGTATCATTATAGATATCTCCAGAATAACTTTTAACTTTTGTAAGCATTAACTGAACTAATTTGCTTTTGCAGACTTTTTTGATTACATGCAGAATGTTATTGTTTTTTGACTTTAACCACTCATATATTTTCTCATTCTTTAGACAGTTCTTGATCACAAAAATTGCATATGTACTATTTGTCCTTATTTCTACTTTACAACTATTAGAAACTAACAAAACTACTACTAGACAAGCTACTAGCTCTGTCTGAGTAGATGAGAACCAGTTTTCTATCCTTCCTTTATAACTGAAAACTATATTATTTGTACTATCTATTGGACTACACTAAACTCTATCCTTATTTTTTCCCTAGCATCTTCTCTACTGAGTAAGCTATCTATATAGAATACTATTTCTTCTTTTTCTCTATTCACTTCTAGTTTAGCTTTTAGTTCTTCTCTAACTCTTGTATTTTAAACAACTTGGTTAATTAGCTCTGCTTCCTAGCTACTTTCTACCTCAATATGCTTTAGGTTCTTAAACTTTTTAAAATCTTCTACTTTGCTTTTTTGGTTTTCTTTTCCTATTTTTCCTAAATACTCTTTATTGAATACTACTTCTAGTGCATTATCTTTCTTCCATATAAAGTTTTAGATATTGTGAACTTCTTGTAACACAATCCTTTGTCTTTGTCTATTTTTCTTAAATTTGGTTCCTTCATTGTATACTTTTTGTTGACTAAGTTTTTTACGCGAGTTTTCTTAGTCTTCTTCCCAGATCTCTACTTCTACTATTTTTTTTTCTTTTCTGATAATATGATCTATTTCGCTTTCCTTATCCTCTTTACTTTTTATGAATATCTATTCTTTTTTCCTCTTGTCTTGTGAGATTCTCTTTTTAATTTCTCATACTTAAAATCTTCTTCTTTTTTAGTACTCTTCAGTTACTTCTCTTGAACTCTTATCTGCTAGAATTTTATTCTCTAGAGCTTGAAACCACTT